TAGGGCCACTGCATACATTTTTTTTAATTAGGGCCACTGCATTAATTTTTTTTTAATTAGGGCCACTGCATATAATTTTTTTAATTAGGGCCACTGCATACATTTTTTTTAATTAGGGCCACTGCATTAATTTTTTTTTAATTAGGGCCACTGCATATAATTTTTTTAATTAGGGCCACTGCATACATTTTTTTTAATTAGGGCCACTGCATTAATTTTTTTTTAATTAGGGCCACTGCATATAATTTTTTTAATTAGGGCCACTGCATACATTTTTTTTAATTAGGGCCACTGCATTAATTTTTTTTTAATTAGGGCCACTGCATATAATTTTTTTAATTAGGGCCACTGCATACATTTTTTTTAATTAGGGCCACTGCATTAATTTTTTTTTAATTAGGGCCACTGCATATAATTTTTTTAATTAGGGCCACTGCATACATTTTTTTTAATTAGGGCCACTGCATTAATTTTTTTTTAATTAGGGCCACTGCATATAATTTTTTTAATTAGGGCCACTGCATACATTTTTTTTAATTAGGGCCACTGCATTAATTTTTTTTTAATTAGGGCCACTGCATATAATTTTTTTAATTAGGGCCACTGCATACATTTTTTTTAATTAGGGCCACTGCATTAATTTTTTTTTAATTAGGGCCACTGCATATAATTTTTTTAATTAGGGCCACTGCATACATTTTTTTTAATTAGGGCCACTGCATTAATTTTTTTTTAATTAGGGCCACTGCATATAATTTTTTTAATTAGGGCCACTGCATACATTTTTTTTAATTAGGGCCACTGCATTAATTTTTTTTTAATTAGGGCCACTGCATATAATTTTTTTAATTAGGGCCACTGCATACATTTTTTTTAATTAGGGCCACTGCATTAATTTTTTTTTAATTAGGGCCACTGCATATAATTTTTTTAATTAGGGCCACTGCATACATTTTTTTTAATTAGGGCCACTGCATTAATTTTTTTTTAATTAGGGCCACTGCATATAATTTTTTTAATTAGGGCCACTGCATACATTTTTTTTAATTAGGGCCACTGCATTAATTTTTTTTTAATTAGGGCCACTGCATATAATTTTTTTAATTAGGGCCACTGCATACATTTTTTTTAATTAGGGCCACTGCATTAATTTTTTTTTAATTAGGGCCACTGCATATAATTTTTTTAATTAGGGCCACTGCATACATTTTTTTTAATTAGGGCCACTGCATTAATTTTTTTTTAATTAGGGCCACTGCATACATTTTTTTTAATTAGGGCCACTGCATTAATTTTTTTTTAATTAGGGCCACTGCATATAATTTTTTTAATTAGGGCCACTGCATATAATTTTTTTAATTAGGGCCACTGCATACATTTTTTTTAATTAGGGCCACTGCATTAATTTTTTTTTTATTAGGGCCACTGCATATAATTTTTTTCAAATTCTGACTTTATTCTCAGAATTCTGACTTTAAACTTGTTTGTTTGTCCTGTATGCTAACTGTTCACTCGTACTGATGTTCACAACTGAGAATAAAGTCAGAATTAAAAAAAAAAAATGTATGCAGTGGCCCTAATACTCTTCCGTATGAAACAGATGTTTATATTTGTTTTGTTTTTTGTTTTTTTTTTCAGATTTCACTAGAAAAAGTTACACTAGCCAACATATTATCTTGTGTCCAAACTTAATTTGTTAAACCGTATGCAGCAGAATCTACAAGGCTACCGAGAAGACTTGTAAAAGGATTCATTCACGTGTTAACCCAAGGACATTAAACGTTTTGTTCATTGGCCATGAGGAGCTACATCTCTGCCAAAATGTCGGGGACCACCGAACCACTGAAGTGCTTGTTCCAGAACTTTTGTGCTAGTGATCAATGCTTCTGCTCTGAGCTGTGTCAGGGTTAGGGTTAGGTGGTGTTAATGCTGAGAACAAAAGACAAGTTGTATGTCAAGTGAAATGTGGCATACTAGACCTATTGTCCAAAAGAAGCAACATCAGATTGGGAATTCTAATCTATCCATCAATCCATCTTCTTCTGCTTATCCGGAACTGGGTCGCAGGGCCAGCAGTCTAAGCAGAGATGCCCAGACTTCCCTCTCTCTAGACACTCTCTCCAGCTCCTATGGGGGAAATGCCAAGGCATTCCCAGGCCAGCCAAGAGACATAGTCCCTGCAGCGTGTCCTAGGTCTTCCCAGGGGCCTCCTCCCGGTGGGACATGCCCGGAACACGGAACATGCTACGAAGGTACCCAGGAGGCATCCAAAACAGATGCCAGAGCCACCTCAGCTGGCTCCTGTCGATGTGTAAGAGTAGCGGTTCTACTCTGAGTGACCGAGCTCCTCAACCTATCTCTCAGGGTGCGTCCAGCCACCCTGTGGAGAAAGCTGATTTCGGCCACCTGTATCTGGGATCTTGCCCTTTCGGTCATGACCCAAAGCTCATGACCATAGGTTATCTTACAGATGTATAAATACGCAGTGAACTATGTCCAACCATCCATCCATTATTTATATTGCTTATTCCTGAATGGGGTCACGGTGGGGCTGGAGCCAATCCCAGCTGACTTTGGGCGAGAGGCGGGGTCCATCCTGGACAGGTCGCCAGTCTATCACAGGGCTGACATGTAGACAGATGACCACACACACTCCTATCAGCAATTTAGAGTCTCTGGTCATCCTAAGCTGCACGTCTTTGGACTGTGGGAGGAAGCCAGAGAGAACCCACACGGGCACAGGGAGAACATGCAAACTCCGCACAGTCCCTGAGTTGGCTGGGACTTGAACAGCGCTAACCAATGCACTGCTGTGCCGCCCTGAGCTATGTACAGGTGCTGGTCATAAAATTAGAATATCATCAAAAAGTTGATTTATTTCATTAATTCCATTCAAAAAGTGAAACTTGTATATTATATCCATTCATTACACACAGACTGATATATTTCAAATGTTTATTTCTTTTAATTTTGATGATTATAACTGACAACCAATGAAAACCCCAAATTCGGTATCTCAGAAAATTAGAATATTGTGAAAAGGTTCAATATTGAAGACACCTGGTGCCACACTCTAATCAGCTATTTGACTCAAAACACCTGCAAAGGCCTTTAAATGGTGTCTCAGTCTAGTTCTGTAGGCTACACAATCATGGGGAAGACTGCTGACCTGACAGTTGTCCAAAAGACCACCATTGACACCTTGCACAAGGAGGGCAAGACACAAAAGGTCATTGCAGAAGAGGCTGGCTGTTCACAGAGCTCTGTGTCCAAGCACATTAATAGAGAGGCGAAGGGAAGGAAAAGATGTGGTAGAAAAAAGTGTACAAGCAAAAGGGATAACCGCACCCTGGAGAGGATTGTGAAACAAAACCGATTCAAAAATGTGGGGGAGATTCACAAAGAGTGGACTGCAGCTGGAGTCAGTGCTTCAAGAACCACTACGCACAGACATGTGAAAGACATGGGTTTCAGCTGTCGCATTCCTTGTGTCAAGCCACTCTTGAACAACAGACAGCGTCAGAAGCGTCTCACCTGGGCTAAAGACAAAAAGGACTGGACTGCTGCTGAGTGGTCCAAAGTCATGTTCTCTGATGAAAGTAAATTTTGCATTACCTTTGGAAATCAGGGTCCCAGAGTCTGGAGGAAGAGAGGAGAGGCACAGAATCCACGTTGCTTGAGGTCCAGTGTAAAGTTTCCACAGTCAGTGATGGTTTGGGGTGCCATGTCATCTGCTGGTGTTGGGCCACTGTGTTTTCTGAGGTCCAAGGTCAATGCAGCTGTATACCAGGAAGTTTTAGAGCACTTCATGCTTCCTGCTGCTGACCTACTTTATGGAGATGCAGATTTCATTTTCCAACAGGACTTGGCACCTGCACACAGTGCCAAAGCTACCAGTACCTGGTTTAAGGACCATGGTATCCCTGTTCTTAATTGGCCAGCAAACTCGCCTGACCTTAACCCCATAGAAAATCTATGGGGTATTGTGAAGAGGAAGATGCGATATGCCAGACCCAACAATGCAGAAGAGCTGAAGGCCACTATCAGAGCAACCTGGGCTCTCGTAACACCTGAGCAGTGCCACAGACTGATCGACTCCATGCCACGCCGCATTGCTGCAGTAATTCAGGCAAAAGGAGCCCCAACTAAGTATTGAGTGCTGTACATGCTCATACTTTTCATGTTCATACTTTTCAGTTGGCCAAGATTTCTAAAAATCCTTTCTTTGTATTGGTATTCAGTAATATTCTAATTTTCTGAGATACCGAATTTGGGGTTTTCATTAGTTGTCAGTTATAATCATCACAATTAAAAGAAATAAACATTTGAAATATATCAGTCTGTGTGTAATGAATGAATATGATATACAAGTTTCACTTTTTGAATGGAATTAGTGAAATAAATCAACTTTTTGATGATATTCTAATTTTATGACCAGCACCTGTATATATGCATGATATACTGTGTCGGTCTGTGTTTGGTAAAAGCATGATTTAAAGTAGTCCCAGCTTGTGACTCCCATGTATTACATACACTTGAGTCACACAGATAACCTTTCGTTAATGTGTGAAACTGAGACTTACGACCGTTTTAAACCCTGTAGCGTTATTTGATAACACTCAACAGATTCTGAAGGTATTTCCTGAACTCGCATAGACTTTTCTAACGGTGCGGAATTAAAAGTAATCCTTTCTGGTCAAGGGACAATATAATTTTAATCAGTTTGTCACACACATTAATGAAAGATTATCTCTGTGAAGTCGTGAGAGTCACATGCTGGGGCTAGGTCTATAGAGATTTTGGTACGAGTGCCAAGTTTTCCTGAGGGTAGAAGACAGTATTCAGTTGACTCAATGGTGTTGTAATGAGATAAACCAGATAATAGTAGGCAGGTTATGAACTGTACTGAAAGTGAAGTGAACACAGTTGAACTCTGATCCAGCCCATTTTTTTTCCTCTATTACTTTTTATATCTGTATATTACTTTTCTCTCCGTTAAGTGTGTCGGGGAGGAGAACTGGGTGGACAGTCGGACAGTGTACCTCGGGCATAAAGAACCTCCTCCGGGAGCTGAGGCCTACATCCCTCAGCGTTTCCCCGACAACCGCATCGTGTCCTCCAAGGTGAGAGAGCCACAGCCCTCAAGTCGATGCCATAACATTGTTTTCCATCATTGCTACTTCTTTGTTTCATATTCTGACACCCACGTAACGGCTTCTGTGGCCACATTTTTAAAAATGACACATTTCGCTGTTTTTGTGCCCCTCAAGCTGTGCATCACCATTTGTCTTGCCATAAGGACTGTTGTGTTCTTTTGTTTCCCTTTCTGTTTTCACGTCTGTGATAGTAATGTTGTTGCTCGGTCCCACAGTATACCTTCTGGAACTTCATTCCCAAGAACCTGTTTGAGCAGTTCAGAAGAATCGCCAACTTCTACTTCTTGGGTATATTTTTGGTTCAGGTGAGATTTTTACGAAAACTTACAAACGCTTATTTTGTCACCCATCTGACACTGAAGCTAATGAAATACTTGCCCAGCTTTCCCTTTGTTAAAGCAAAAACAAAACATCCTAAAACCTCACAAGCAACTACTGGTATCAAACATTGCTTTTCAGAGCCCATTTTATGATACGTTTTTAATTCTTATATGAAACTGAAATAATAGTCTGCAGCTTTGCATCCAGATATTTTGAAGGCAGCTGGAGATGTGTGACAGCTGCACGCTGCCTCATTTTTATACAGTAGGTAACTAGATAGTATAGTTTTGATAATGTTTAAAGGACCTGGATGTTTCAGTATCTGCTTGTTAACTGTGACATAACATTCCACTTCTGGGTCCAGACTCTCCCAGACACAAATACCGGAGCCTATCAGCCTAAAACATATTTTAGGCATCACTGCGAGTAAAAAACAAAACAAAACAACTAAATTCTTTCAACTCAAGCAGAGTAGTCAGTATAGCTGCTCTACCTGGTGGCATAATAACCATACTCTGGTACGCAATTATAACGCAATTATACGCAATTATATAATTAATGTAATACTGTTTATTTAAGAATTAAGTATTAATTTAAGAATACTGTGACTTGCCATTTCTTTTTCTCATCACAAGGAAAGCGGTAAAATGACAGCTGACCCATATTTTTGATGCAGATCTATTGAAATGATCGGGAACACAACACACAACACTGCGGCATATTGAACTGAGCAGAATAAACCAAAGTTTGGACCCAGAAATGGAATGTTGCACTACTTAACAAGTGGGCCTCATCACCTTAAATTACCTCAGGGTCTTTAAGCGACCATGTGCACTTAGCCAATCATCTACTCCCTGTTTGGTTCCTGCACTCATTGTTCCCTGATTTCAAAATTAGAGCAGTTATCCAGGTTACCTGGCCGGGGGATTAGCAAGTTAATTTGAATTTGCTACCATCATATTATCCTCTTGTAATGAGTGTCTTGCTGCCCGGTGTCTTTCTCTGTGGATCAGAATCAAAGACAAACAGCTTTTCGTGGAGCCACTATATTGCACCAAATATTTAATAATCCTCCAAGGTCAAATTCACCATAGAGGAGGGGGCGACAACAGTTTCATTAGCAAAAGTTGCCTTAGTGGACCAGAACAGAATTAAAAGTTGCAGCTTGGGTTTTTGTGTACTGTATGTTTTTTCAGTAGCATGTGAAATGCTGCACCCTATTAATGGAGCAAACTGGGTATGGCACATAGTCTGAGCTCCTCTTTCCTATTGTCGACTGCAGAGTTCCAACTTTGTTACATTGCGCTTCTGTAAGAGCATAAAACAGAATTTGATTACTGCTAAAATGATACTTGATTCCTTATTACAGAACCTTTTCCCTGCTGCACTTCCTTACTTGGCGTTACATTACTTGGCCTCCTTCCCCCTCTCCTCTCTGTCCCCCCCCATCCTCCCCGTGCGTCGTCCTCTCACTGCTCCTCTCTCTTGCAGCTTATCATTGACACCCCCACCAGCCCAGTCACCAGCGGCCTGCCCCTCTTCTTTGTTATCACCGTCACAGCCATAAAACAGGTAGGACACACACAGACGTGCTCAACCTATTCCACTCGCACCCCTTCCAGCTCTGAATGCGCACACACATGCACACTGTACCAGTCAGCTGCTTTGTTATCTGTATACACACATTCCGCTCTCAGTGAAAGGATACACCATTGAATATGTCTGGTGATGTGGGAAATACGGTAATGAATGTTCTCTTCTGTTAATCACTGTAGCTGAGGATCTGGTGCCCCTGGGAAATGCTTCCTCACTAACATATCCTGGTACTGAGGGGTGGGGTACTATTGGTGATAGATGAAACTGTTCTGTCTAAGTAAGCCTGAGTTTTACTGGAACGTAAATCTAAAACATAATATTTTGGCTAGAAATCCAGGAAAGAGGTCGTTAAACTCGGGGAGTACAATGCTAATAAATTATAGTGTATGTCTTTCACTTCTCTTGATCTCATGCTTTGCTCTGCCCCGGATTCTCTCTACACAATAATCCATATTTGCTGTTTGTACCCTGGCGACCAACAGTTTGGCTCTCCCTCTTCCTCTCTCTTGCTGCATCTCTCTCAGGGCTATGAGGACTGGCTCAGACACAAAGCCGACTGCTCTTTAAATGAATGTCCGGCGGATGTGGTACAGCGGGGGAAGGTGGTGAGAACACAGAGTCACAAGCTACGGGTAAGAGCGGCCTCATTACAGCGGTATAGCGCCAGAGGCCGCAAAGCAGCGCTACTGGTCTGCTCTATAGCTCACCTTTCTTCCCATCGACAGTCCTCTCTAACTTTCCTTTCTTCCTCTCTTGCTCTCTCTTGTTTTTCCCACCAGTTAATTGCCCTGAAGCTGTAGTAGAGGAACAGTCAGTGTCCCCTGGCACAATATACAGACCCCCTCCCCCAGAGAATGAACAGGATTGATGTATTTCTTGAGTTAAAATATTCCTGTCATCATCTCCTGATGCTTTCTTATGTCATTCTGATGCAACAGCAGATCACTGCTTGGTAGCGAGGCTCATTCCTCAGAAATTCCATATTATCCTTGAGATTTTTATTGTATTACACCCCATTTTTGATCTTTATGGCTGGCGTTTTATTAGTAGAAATGTTTAACATTCCTTGCATTCTGTAATTGCTTTTCCATATAGTAGATTTTATTGTTACTGGTGGAGACTTGTTTTCCCCATGTCAAATTTGAAATGCCCACACACAAGGGATTTTATGTAATGTAGACAGTCGAACGTGAGTTTAATATTACCATTTCAGATTGCATTGTTGACTACCCTGTTTAGTTTTCTGCATTAAAAGAAAGTGAAATTGTGCTTCTCCTGTTGCATTTCTGAGCTGCTGGAGTTTTTTGTTTATATAAATCTCTGTACAATGAACAGCTCCAACAATGGCAAAGTTTAAGAAAGAGAAAATGTAGAGTTCTCCAAAACAGTACAGCAACAAGAATGGTAAAGACAAGAGTAGATTAATTGAGACATTAATGTAGTTTTCTTAAGACAAAGCTTCTTGTATGTTTTGTAATATAAGGAGAATTTGGTAAAGTTTGAAATGCAGCAGTCTTAGTGGTGTCTTGTAAATCCACATGGGCTGGGCACTTTGGTGCACGATACAAATGAAATGAATCTGTCTGGTATCAGATGCAGGGTTGATCGTCATGAGCCAGCTTCACTGAAGTTTGAACAGACATGTCAGGCTGTATAATGTGAGTGTCTAACCAGCACCTCCTATGTGTAGGATATGTCAGTATTGTTTCACCATTGGGTACGAAGGTGTTTATTGGGTGCAGGTGCATCTAATTTCTTCTGCCCCTGTCATACGCAGAGAGACTGAGTGGGATGTTGAGGGTCATCTTAGAATGAGGCCTCAGTACAGCTGCGCAGCCTTAAAGGTTACAGAGTATTCTCAGTTGTGTTACCATAGCAGTAGTTTCCACTGAGCGTCATTGATCAGGAAAGACATTTTACATTCACTTGGACAGACAATCATTTTCTGGCTCTCTCTTTCTGTCACTGTTCCTGTCATTTTCTCAGTTAGTCCATTCTCCCTCCATCTGTCTCTCGTCTTCCAGAGTTTTCTGTCTCTAGGTTTCTCACTTCTGTAGATCAAACAGAGAGGATCAGAGTGTGAATTGGGAGCAGGAATAATGATGAATATATTATTCATGCAAAATTAGAGCATGTGTGTATGGTCACCGTGGAGATGGGATTTATCAGATCTTAAGATGTTCTGCTCACATAATCTGTTATGCAACTTCTCAGTCCTTGGAAAAAAAAGGAATGCTAAATGATGAGCAGATGATTACCCATAGCTCTCTGTGTCATGTTTACATGAAGCTCTTTTCAACATATTTCTCATTTATTATTGATGTGAAAGCCACTACAGGTGTGTGATGTGTCTCGCCTGCTCTGTCAGGTGGGAGACATCGTCATGGTGAGGGAGGATGAGACTTTCCCCTGTGACCTCATCCTGCTGTCCTCCAGTCGTCCTGATGGGACCTGCTATGTTACCACTACCAGCCTGGACGGGGAGTCGAGTCACAAGGTGCCAGAACTAGTGCATCATTTTTGATTTAATATTTGTGAATGGTGAATATTTCACATTCATGTCCCCGTAGATTTACTAGCTTTGATCCCTAAAAGAAAAGCTGTACATGGGTCCTTAAGAGGTCTGGGAAATCAGTCAGCTATATTTCATAGTCCACATTCTGTACAAATACAGTGTTTTTATTTAAATGTTACTAGGAAAAATATTCTTTTTTACGTGTTCTTACAGTATCACAAACATTATTTATTATGGATATCAGGTGTATATTCAGCGCTACATGATTGTGTGTGAGTGGTCATTGAAGAAGCTGACATAAAGACGACTGAATAAATATAAATGAATAAACAGTGTGGGAGACAAACTAAAGGCATGATAGTTCATAGTAAACTGGATATTTTTGGTCATTCGGACAAAAAAAGCAATTTGAAGATGTCTGTTATGGACATTTTTCATAATTTCCTGCCATTTCATAGACAAAGAGATGAATTGTTTAAGAAAATATTTGTTAGTTGCATCCCTACACTTTTGCAATAACACTAAATGCATAAAATGTAGGTGACACACGTCACGTTTTCACTTCTTCTCTGATGTTCACTGATGTCACTCACATGACCATCTGCACGGCTGAACATACGCTTTCACATGCATATGCTCCGGTGTAGCGTAGAGTACTCCAAACCCCCACATGCCCCAGGGCAACCCCCTGATGTGCCTCCCACCTCAGCATGCTGTCCTCTGCTGACAGGGAATGCTCTATGACAGCTCACCTCCCTGGCTGTCCCAGGCATTTAGAAAACCTGCTGGAAGTCAGGCTGAGGAGTCAAATGAACCCAGCTCTCATTAGCGGCTATGGGTGACATTTTCCTCTGTTGTCTTCTTCTTCTTCCCCTGTCTTCCACCTTTCTATTTCAGACCTATTATGCTGTACCAGACACCATGGCCTTTAGAACAGAGCGGGAGGTGGATTCGCTACATGCCACTATTGAATGTGAACAACCACAGCCTGACCTCTACAAGTGAGTCTGACACACTCACTGATGGATCTATACACACAAACCTGCAACAACCTCTGAGAAATACATTTTTCTTTATTGCTGTGTCTTGATTTGGTTCTGTTGTGATTTTTTTTAGATTTGTGGGGCGCATAAGTATTTACAGGGGCAGAGAAGAACCTGTGGCCAGGTGAGTACTTTTTGTCTACTTTTTATTTAAACACATCTGTTAGACAAGGCCCAGACTTTCTGTGCAGAGTTTCCATGTTCTCCCTGTGCCTGCGTGGGTTCTCTCCGGGTACTCTGGCTTCCTCCCACAGTCCAAAGACATGCAGCTTAGGTTGACTGGCGACTCTAAATTAGACTTCATCCGGAAGGGAATCCGGTGTAAAACACGCCAAGTTTAGCATTGTCAGTTGGGTGGTAACTGATGATTCACTGTGGTGACCCCTAACGGGAGCAGCCAAAAGTAGAAGAAGAATAAAATCGAGACTGTTTCTTTCTTGCAGACCACTTGGGGCTGAGAACTTGTTGCTTAGAGGGGCCACACTGAAGAACACGCAGCATATTTATGGTAGTAATTCACTCTGTTTAATGTCATGTTTGATGAAGGCTTGGGGGAAAGGCAGATGGCATTATTGTCGGAGTAACCAGGTGTTTTCTCTCCCCTTAGCTGTTGCAGTCTATACAGGCATGGAGACCAAGATGGCACTTAATTACCAGTCTAAATCTCAAAAGCGCTCTGCTGTGGAAAAGTATAATTAACATTTCTGCTCTTTTCACTGCATGATTTAGAGAAGTAGTCTGTCAATAATTGTTTTTGTGAGGATGAGTAAATTCCCTGCTTTCTCATCCTAACCTTTACTTTATCTCTCTGCAGGTCAATGAATGCCTTTCTGATAGTGTATCTCTGCATCTTGATCAGTAAAGCTGTGATCAACACTGTTCTGAAATATGCTTGGCAGTGGTCTCCTGACCGAGACGAACCCTGGTACAACCATAGAACTGAGAATGAGCGCCAGCGCCATGTGGTCCGTTAATCAAGCTTTACTTTATAAACAAAATATTGATGCCTAATCCCAAATCTCATTTTTCACTTCATAGCTGGCTTCCTCTCTTTCCCAGGTGATCCGAGCATTGACAGACTTCCTGGCTTTTATGGTCTTGTTTAATTACATCATCCCAGTTTCTATGTATGTGACGGTAGAGATGCAGAAATTCCTCGGCTCCTATTTCATCACCTGGGATGAGGAGATGTTTGATGAAGAGCTAGGCGAGGGTGCTCAGGTCAACACCTCTGACCTGAACGAAGAGCTGGGACAGGTACATCAGCATACACATACACAGAGGGATAATTTCTTACAATTTTTGAATGTAAACATTCTGTAGACATGCTCTTACTCTATCCTTCCTCCCTCTCAGGTTGAGTATGTGTTTACTGATAAGACTGGCACCCTGACTGAGAACAACATGGAGTTTATTGAATGCTGTGTTGATGGGAACGTTTATATCCCACATGCCATCTGCAACGGCCAAATCCTCAGTGCTGCTTCCAGTATAGACATGATCGATTCCTCACCTGGTGGATACAGAAGAGTAAGTGTGGGTGTTTGTGAAGTAAATAAGCCTCGAAGTCCAGCCTGAATTGGAACTTGGCCGTACTAATTTAGACACCAAATACCATTACTCATAAACACAGTAAACACAGCCTACAGTGTGTATAGGTAGTTAAAATGTTGGCATTTTCTTTGTGAACCCTAAGTGTTATGTGGAAAAGTGCTCTGGTACAGTACATAGAAAAATGATGAGCCTTGCATTTCTGGCAGAGGCAACAGTGATTTGCTTAGATTTAATAGAAAAAAAATTGTGTAGTCAGCATGAGCAGCAATAGGCACCACAGATGACCAGAGACAGAGAAGAGCAAAAACTGCAAAAACCTGAATGGGCAAAAAACTTTTCTAGCCAATGTACTGTAGTTAAAAAAAAAAAACACTGCAATGACTAAATGGCACTAAACTACTATGCAGCAAATGACAAGGAATTTGAGGATTACTGCTTCAAAAAGGGAAACCATATTGGAAAGGCACCTTTGAAATGAACTTAACTATTGCCTGAATGAAATAAAAATAAAGTATTATAATGTTTTGCTGTGTTTCTGTAGGAACATGAGGACCTGTTTTTCAGAGCGCTGTGTCTATGCCACACAGTACAGGTGAAGGAAGAGGTGACAGTGGATGGCATCAAGAGAGGCCTCCACCAGGGCAGACCCACCTCTTTCTACATCTCCTCCTCACCAGATGAGGTGGCTTTGGTGGAAGGAATGAAAAGGTAAACACACAAAGTTTAAAATAAATTTTAATAAAGTCATCAAATTTGGTACTTGGTTGGAAATACTTTAGTCTGTCACCTTTAAAGTCTCGCTCACACACATTAGTAAAAAACGTGGCGTCTTCCCTGGTGATGCTCTGTCACTTCAGTAAAGCCGCCATCTTAACTAGGGGCATTTAACTTCAGTTTGGTCTTCAGCAATCAAATCAGATTGAGGTCAGGAGAGTGATTTAGCCATTCAAGACAGTGTGCTGTTCACTCATAAAAGATTTGGTTAGGATCATTTTCTAGCTGTCCTAAAATTAGAGGAGTATGTATAAGAAGATCAAGATTTTTACTGTCAGTTCACTATATCTGCAGGACACACAGAAAAATCAAAATACTGTTTCTCTTTCACATAATGTTGAATGCCCATATCGTTTAAGAAACGAAATAAAGAATACAAGCAGAATAAATAGAATATGAAAACTGAATTAAAGTAATAAGGACAAACTAAATGGTACAACCTAATAGGCTATAATGAAACTCAGAGCCATGTGCAAACAGTGACAGTAGTGCAAATAATAAGAAGATTGTCAGGTGGTTAGCATCAAAGGTCAAAGTGTTTATTTGTCATATGCACAGTTAGGAAATGTGTTTCCCTGTACAATGAAATTCTTACTTTGCCATCCACATGAATGCCACACAGTACAAATGAAATATAAAGTAGATGAATAAATAACACAAAAGGCACTTTAAGCAGCAAATGCAGAGATATAATAAAAATATACAAGAATATAATATGAGAATGTATGCTGCAGTAGTCAACAGTCAATGTGCAACTGATAAAATGCATAATAGCTAAAAAGGACTACTAGTCCTACATTTGACCAGCATGGGCATGAACACCCCCAAACACCATCAAAAATAATTATAGCACTAAAGGGTGGCTATATAGTTGTTTCATTTTAGATCCGGTGTCGTCGGCTTTGTGCCAATAACACGGCCACATCTTTGATTTCAATGAGATCACTGCATTGTCACAGCAGGGAACCTGGAACAGAGGGCGCCAGCAAAGAATCACAGATCATCCAACAAAAATGTTGCTCAACTTATGCTGGTAATAAAAATTATTGGCCATATAGGCAAAATCCTTACAAACCTTAGCCCCTGAGGCAGAGGAAGACATGATTGCTGCAGTAAATGTTTGTGCAGAGTTGTATAGTCCTTCCTTATAATAATATAAACTGCTGTGTAATGTGTTAGTACCTTAGTAGCTTTAAAATAGATATATTAGTTGAACTGGACTTCCTGGATTGTATTTCATCTTCCCACCAGTACCTTTATAACACAGTACTATTTTGAGTCTGAACGTAGTCTTGAACACACGTAAGACACATGGTCAAACATGCCCCATCACAGGGTGTTGCTCTCATATTGCTTTCACAGCTGTGAAATCCTGTGAGCTGCCCACTGGTTACACTAAATGTGTCAGAAAATGGATAAACACCTTCTGTCAGACTTTAATGAATCCTTTTCCCCTCTCTGTTATTGCCAGGCTGGGTTATACCTATCTGAGATTGAAAGACAACTACATGGAGATTCTCAACAAGGATGATGAGATTGAAAGGTTGGTCTGCTAAGTGTCCATTGTGGTTACACCACAGCCGATAAAATAGAAGCAAGTCAGTTAAAAGAATTGGGCCCATGCTTCAGATGCCTGAAGGCAAACAGCCTTTGGATTGTGTTTCATATTCAACAGAGGTTACCAAATACTACCACCACAAAAGAGAGGACATTTTTACAAACTGCTCAGTTAATATCAAAACATCTGCAAACTCAGACTGATCGCCACAAGTGAAAGGCAGCACAATTCCCTTAGACAGTGCTTTTTGGGCAGGAGTGTCTGTTTTGATCCCTAAGAAGTATTCATGTAATCATCCTCCCTTGCCATCACCTTCTGCAGTGGCCTGTCAGGAGTGAGCTACTGTATTTTGGGGAAGCAGGCAAAGTATATGGATGTAGACTATTCTCAGACTTGCTGTTTTTTCCATTTATAGGGATGAATCTTTGGGCCAGACTGGGCTGAAATGTGCTTAATTCAAATTTTGAACCTCAGTGTGAGATTTTCAGTACTTAGTGTGGTTCACTTCATCTGAATTACAGCTGGCCTAATGCTCATCAGAAAGTTCTACAATACTCAGAATTAGTAACAGAAAAGGGGATTGTTTATTTAGAAGTGGATGTGATAACACAGCAAGGTGCACTTAATCTATATGATTTACTTTAGAAATTATAGTAAAACAAAAACTGCATGGTGTAATTAACTGCAGGTGAATAACAAAGGTGTCATTTAAAGTTATTATTTGCCAAATGGGCACCTTTGGGGGGAAATAACACCAGACATTAATGGATATGAATTATAAAGTAAATAAAAAAAGAGACCTTTCTTTTACTGTTTTACTGTCTTTCCTTCAGGTTTGAGCTGCTCCATGTACTGAACTTTGACTCTGTGAGGAGGAGAATGAGCGTCATAGTGAAGTCGAGTTCAGGTAAAATGCACTCTCACACAGAAGTGAAACAGATATCAGTGTTATGTTTTTACATTTTATAAACCCATGATTTCAGACACTAGAACATTTATGCATTTGTGTAATTGTTTTTGTTGCATCTGTGTGTTTCTGGACTCTCAGGAGAATATCTGCTCTTCTGTAAGGGCGCAGACTCGTCCATATTTCCACGGGTTGTGTCCGGGAAGGTGGAGCAAGTGAAAGCCCGGGTGGAACAAAATGCTGTAGTAAGCATCTTACCAGTTAAAATATACTATGGGATTGATAATATACCATAAATATCATCAAATATCAGAGATTTGCAGAAATGTATCCTTATAAGCATCTACCTCATGTAAAAGAATTTCATAATTTATGAGGTTTATAAATGATATTCATAGACTGGCAACCTGTCACAGGGTGTACTGTGCCTCTCGCCAATGTCAGCTGGGATTGGCTCCAGCTAAAAAGCTAGACTATTGTATGTCTGCAGCACCAAGTAGCAGACAAAGTTCAGCATTTAGCAGGTAGAGAGCCAGATAATTCCCTTAGGGGTTCTGAAGACCAAAACGGAGCTAATAGAAACACACATACAAATGAATGCTACTGTAGCTGTGTGTCTGCTGGATGTGTAGAAACGTAAGTTTTTGAAAACATGTCCACTATAACAACTCATATTGATCAAACTTAACAAATCCAGTCTGTCTTCATCTCTCGCTTCACTATAACACCAGGAGGGGCTACGGACTCTGTGCGTTGCCTATCGGAGGTTGTTGGAATCTGAATATGAGGAGGCATGTCATCACCTGTCTGAAGCCAAGCTCGCCTTACAGGACAGGGAGCACAGGCTGGCGCAGGCCTATGACATCATCGAGAGGGACTTTGTGCTTCTGGGGGCTACAGCAGTCGAGGACAGGTTGGTCACCAGCGACCCAAGAGGGCAGAAAACATGACTTCCTTCTAACGCTGCTGTGCCGTTTGATTGCTTTTTATTCTTTGCTCTACTATAATACAAGATGTTTTTGTGCTCTGACAAAGTCAACTTCAGCATTGACCCTAACTGATCGATCAGCTGCCTGACAGTTTGACTTCCTAATAAATATACTGGAGATAGGCAGAGACATGGGTGGTCACGCAGTGAAAAGTTATCACCACTTAGTAGTATATTGATTGGAGTTTTGATGGATGCTTTAACCTACCCGAGGAGGCCGAATCACTTATTGACTTATTGATTTACAGGCTCCAGGAGAAAGCTGCAGACACCATTGAGTCGCTGCATAAAGCTGGGATGAAAGTTTGGGTCCTGACGGGAGACAAAATGGAGACAGCGGCAGCTACCTGCTACGCCAGCAAGCTGTTCCGCCGTAGCACGCAGATCCTGGAGCTGACCAAGAAACGCACAGAAGAGCAGAGTTTGCACGATGTTCTGTTCGAACTAAACAGAACTGTTCTCAGACAATGCTCTATTTCTGGGTATGCAGTAATGCATGTATGTACTGCACCATTTTGTAAATGCTGTGGGTCCACATTTCACCAAGTCACAGTCTACACAGCATATGTACTCTTAACTTTTGGTCAAATCAGCTGAATTTCAAGACTAGAATGATCTACAGTTAAGTGTGTGAACATAAATCTCCCTTTTTGATTGATCTGCGATATTTCCATCCAGGTTGTCCATAGACTGCCTTGACTTTGGACTGATCATCGATGGGGCTACTCTGTCTGCAGTACTGAAGCCTAACCAGGATGGTACTGGCCACAGCAACTACAGAGAGATCTTTCTAGAGATCTGTCGCAACTGTAGCGCTGTGCTCTGCTGCCGCATGGCACCGCTGCAGAAAGCACAGGTGACAGAACTGCGCTTCCTTTCATATATACTCCTATATGACAAACCGTGCCAGAGACTGGATTGTGTTTTTTGTGTCTGCAGATTGTGAAGCTAATTAAAGCTTCCAAAGAGCATCCCATAACCCTCGCCATTGGTGATGGTGCCAACGATGTCAGTATGATCTTGGAAGCACATGTGGGCATCGGTGAGCTCATATCAGTGCTCTAATTAGTGGCTAATTTGCTAATCATCATTAATATATAAAATATGTTGTTTTTATTAGAGCCAGAGTTGATTTTAAAGCTTATAGTGATGTTAATATTTGAGAGTAATACAAATCTGATGGAACGGTATAGACCAGTGTTTTTTTTTTTTTTTTTTTTTTTTTTTTTTTTTTACACCAACACAATGTAAACAAACATTTTTTTGGCAATAATCCCTCAGATTTGTTTTTCACAGAGCTGCACTGAGGCAGGATGTTTGTCAGTAACATTTTAATATCAAAGACCATACATAATAGCTACAGTATATACATAAGTCTTGGCCGCGTTACATTATCTTCCCTAACTGCTTTTGTTCCCTCAGGCATCATGGGTAAAGAAGGTCGACAGGCAGCAAGAAACAGCGACTATGCTATCCCAAAGTTTAAGCACCTGAAGAAGATGTTACTTGTTCATGGCCATTACTACTACATCCGCATTGCTGAGCTTGTTCAGTACTTCTTCTACAAGGTATTAGATGACTGCCTTGTGCACCTCAGTGACTCACACGTTTTAATCACTTTATCATAATTCCCAGTGCAACACTGACTTACAAAGAACCAGATTTTTCAGCAACTCTGGCAGATTACTGGATTCATGAACCCCCAGTGCAGCATTGTCTCCCAGATTCATGGCCGTGATGATCAGTGTGGGTGGCTTCCACAGCAAGCAGTGCCCTGCCAATTGATTCATTTCTTTTTTCTTTTGGCAGCCCACTCAGTGAGATTATAGCTCTGCATAAACAGAACTGACAGTAGAGTAGCGGATTTATGAATATTAATATTAATACCTTTTAATAATCATTCATATTGAAAGGGAGTGGGGGTCCTGAAGTCTGGAAGTCTGGCTGGAGTCTTGCTATTAGCGCTGGCATCTGTGGAGATGTGTGTGAGAAATAAATTTGCATGAAGCTGTCTTTAGCTGAAACAAAGCCGCAGAGGTTTTGTGTGTTTGAAAGGGGGCAGGGAGATGTCTTTCTGCTCCTCACTGCCTGGGAAGTCAAAATTAACTTATTAATTTTTCTTCTTGGTTCATCAAAATGAAACGAGTGTTTTCCAGATGGTTTCCTGGCCTTGTGGACACTACAGTAGCAATTTTAGATTCTTAGGATCTCATGTGTGCTTGTCACAAGCTTACCACTTTCTCCACTTATTTTTCCCCCCTCTTAAATCTTTCCAGAATGTATGCTTCATCTTCCCTCAGTTCTTGTACCAGTTCTTCTGTGGATTCTCCCAGCAGGTGAGTAGTATATACAGTTTGCAAGCACACAGTGTAGTGTGTACATGGACTATAGAGCCTCACAGTGCTCTTACATTGAACGTGCTGAATTTTGTTAATGATTTGTTTAATATTAAAGCTGCAATTATCGATGTGAATATTCACAATGCAGCAAATTATTCTGTGTGATATGAAGGCTGTCACTTGTAGACACCACAGAATTATCACCTGATTTTTTTTAGGTCCTCTCAGCTCTTTTTAGCTCGTTGGGTTTGCCCAAGACTCTCATCAGTCTTTTTTACAAAGCATCAAACAGCCGTTGGTTGCAAAAAGACTGTGATAAACCCAGTTTGTCAAGTGGCCAGAAAGACAACTCTGTGTAAATGTTAAAGTTGCTTCATGTATGCCGGATGTGTAATTAACCAATTATTTGCAAACATATTCGTCATATCAACTTTGTAAGGTGTTAATACCTTTCTGCCTCCAAGTGGCCAAAATAAATCACTAAATGTGGCTTTAAAGTTATTTCTTATCTAATAAGACTCAAAACAAACACCCATCAGAAGTACTTCCAAGTTAAAATCATAGTATAGCTGAGCGACACCAGGTCACATTGTCACTTGATTTATCAGACATTGTGTACAATCTTGGTTAATGCACCTTTAAATACTACGATGGCCTTTCAGTTCTTGATATCTGATGGCGTCTGTGTTGTATTTGTCCCTTGGCAGCCTCTATACGACACCGCCTATTTGACATTGTACAACATCAGCTTCACCTCACTCCCCATCCTCCTCTACAGCCTGGTTGAGCAGCATGTCACCGTGGAGACACTGAAGAGGGAGCCCGTCTTATACAGGTGAGGTCGGATGCTAGCGTCTGACCCCTACATGCTCTGCTACTAAAACTATTATTTGATTGTTACAATTAAGTGTTTATGACTTTTGCTCTAGAGTTTATCCTTTTGATCAACTGTTCTATTTTCTACCCACCCTCTCTCAGGGACATAGCGAAAAACTCCCTCCTACGTTGGCCGGTCTTCCTGTACTGGACGTGCCTGGGTGTGTTGGATGCTGTTATCTTCTTCTTTGGTGCCTACTTTCTGTTTGACAACACCACCTTCACCAGCAATGGCCAGGTGAGCCCGTGTCTCTTTGTCAACAGAAACTGTGAGTTCTGTCATTTTGTGAAATGAGT